AAGAAATTTCTGAAGGACAGAAAATAATCAAGTTTCTGCACCTTGTATCTTCACATGTCACATATTAGCAAATTAGGCACGATTTGATCCTCAAGCTATCACAAAACAAATCTAGTTTGAGTCATAAAACAATTATTCATCGACCTATATATATATAGTTTTCTTCTATAATTTTTTGAGTGATATATTTTACTATTCAAATTATAATAAATTATAAAATAAAACTTTTAAATTAAAGACAATTCTTAATATTAAGAAATTTATTCTCATTTAATTATTTTAATTATGCTATTTGAAAAGTACAACATTATCTTTTTCTTCTTCTCTTTCAAGGGTAATATAATCGTAATTCACGAGAGGTATTTTTTTTTTTTTTCTTTTTACACATGTAATAATTAAAAAATTAGTTTGAATTAATTGTTAATAATTAAAGATTCAATCCCCAAACTAGATGAACATTTCACCCCTTTAAATGAAACATACGGTCATTCGGTCGCATTTAATGAAATTCACGACAATAATAAAATTTAAAATTTCGATCACCTCACCTAAACACTTAAAACTTAAAGTAAAACCATTAGATTTAAACTCGAACCATTGAATCTAAAGCAAAATTCATATTCATTTAATTATGTACTTCGCTAACAGGTTAAAGCTGGCAGCTAACGCGTAATTTCACGTAAAATGATGAGTACACTGACCTGCGGGAAAATGATAATGGCGGCAGTAAGTTTCATTATGACCCCACTACTACAAAACATAAAAATAAATAAATAAATAAATAGAAGTACTCCACTACTACATAATTTTCTAATTAATTCGAAGATGGTTACTAAATAAAATAAAAAGGGATTTTTTAATATGTATTTTTTAAGGTATGAGATAAATTTTGTTTATTATAATATATAAAAATAATTTTATGTAAATTTTTATATCAAATTTAAATAAAATGTAATACATTATTTATATTTAAAATTTGTAAAAATATGTGAATTTTTTTTATATTGATTACACAACAAAAAATAATTTTTTTTTCATTCTTTATCTCACTTTACTCGCATGATATGCGATTTGAATTTAAGATCTCTTACTTCTAACAAAAAGAAATTATCACCGAATCATTTAGATCGTCGGCATAAAAATATATGAATTTAGTATAAAATTTATGTAAAATTATTTAGTAATACTATAATTAATGAGACTTAAGGCATAAATTAGATAAATCTAAATAAAAATATAGGACAATTGCTTTTTGTATTTTGCTTATACTTATCATAATTTTAGTTTTTTTTTTTTTTGAACAATTGTCATGGGGATCAGATTGAACCACTGCCCAAGAGAGGGGGATGAATTTTTACTAGAGTAACGGAAGTCACTTGACCCTATGAGTCAGGTTCACTTATCATATTTTTAGTTTATGTTTAGTTTGATAGGAAATGAAATAAAAGTTATTAGATAAATAGATCTTATAACTAATTAAATTATAACATTAATGAATAATATAATTTAATTAATTAAAAAGATATTTTTTTCATCCCTTCAAATGGGTTATTATCACACATTAAAGAGTTGATGATATTTTTTTAATATAATTATTTATTATATTTTTATATTATACCTTTTTTTTAATTCTACTTCTTACATCTTAGAATAATAAACATTTTCTTAATTTTATTTTCAGATTAAAGATTTGAGGATACTTTTTTATTTTTACCTATTTATCCTTAAAAATATAAATTAAAAAACTATTTTGATTTAAAAATAAATAATTAAAGTTAA